GCATCTCCCCCGCGGCTGAGCAGGGAGCACCAGGGGGCAGGGTGTCCGGGTCAGCAGCCTGAGACTCAGATCGGAATCCCAGGCTGGCCGCTCAGTGGCCGTGTGACCCTGGCTGAGCATCTAGCCCAGGCTGGTCTCCTCACCATTAGGCCCCGGGGGGCCGCCATCCTGACCTCTAACAACCTGTGTACATTGCAGGGGGCCTGTGACTCTGTACAGGGCATTTGTTCTCTGTGTGTCTTTCCCTCGTGGCCCTGTCTGTGTGGCCACGGTCTGCTCATGTGTGGTGCCCAGACTGACCCAGTCTCCTGCTAGAGGTCATGGGTCGTGGAGGTCTCCAGCTCTGCTGTGTAAACGCTCCAGTGAGTGTCTGCTGCCAAACAGACACACGCATTGGGCCCTTAGAGGGATCTTCTGTCGATAAATATAAACGACCCTGACTGTGCAGGTAGTGTGCTCAGGGGAGCACCGGGGACCCTACAGTCCCCTTCCCCACTGCCCACACCCCTTTTCCGACCTCCTCTCGGGACCCACCAGGAGGCAAGGTGCAGGCGGCTGGCACGGAACGCTGGCAGAGCCCCTGTCCAGGGCTCTCTCGTGGCCCCCTTCAAGGTGAGCCAAACAGCGATGGTGCACCTGCCTCGTGCCAAGCTCTGCGCTAGAACCCGAGGCCAGCGTGGAAGCTCTTAGGGTGTGAGGGCAGGTCACCCTGAGCCGCTGGCCTCCCCGTCACCGTGGCTGACGGCACCCTGCCCCAGGAAAAGCTGGGCCGGAGGAGACGCCCAGGGCACATAGCAGAGGGCGAGGCGGGAGGAACCAGGGGTGGCCCCGCGTGCTCTGCCTCTGGGGAGCCAAACCCTCACCACTGACTCTGACCTGGACACCTCTTCTTCCCTAAATGAGGTGGTGAGGGAGCCCAGGCAGAGGGAAGGGGTGAGGAGGGCCTTGTGGGGTGGGTGAGGGTGGGCCCAGCTGGGGATGCTGAGGGCCCAGGGGACCTCAGCCTCCCTCGACCCTCCCTGTGTGCGTGGTAGGCCCCGGTCGCTAACTGCCTTTCCAATCATCCTGCTTAGGGAGGCCCCACACATGCAAGCAGACACTGGTGACCCAGGATGAGCGGTTACAAGGGTCCCTCCCACACGCTGGCCTGGTGCAAACAGCTTGCTTGCACTTTCCATGCTCACAGCACGAGGCACAACCTGGGCCCCACTTTTCGTGCTAGAGGCACAGCCAGGAGGCTCCGGGGCCAGGATGCCAGCCAGGTCTGCCTGACCGGCCCTGGGTGGTGAAGGTGGTGGCTAAGGGGTCCCTAAGCTGTTCCTGAGCTCTTAAAGCCCTCAGCATCGAGGGGCTTAATCATCACCAGGAGACGAAAGCCGACTGGCCTGTCCATCTTCCTGTTCCCAGGATGTTCTCTAAGTGTTTTCTCTCTGTATTTCTGAAGGGCCACCATGTTAGAATCTGACACTCGGGGACCTAGTGTCTGGGGCTGCCAGAGTCCCGTCAACTTTGCTTACCTCTCCCACCGGCTGGGCCTGGAAGGGTGGGCCGAGGCTGTGCAGCTGGGTCTGGGTCCTAACACACTTTTGTTTACTTCCCACAGCACGCCTCATTACCAGAAGGCTCAGCTGGGGGGCCGGCAGGGGAGACAAGGAGTGGAGGCAGGGGAGGGGGAGGGGAGGAGAGGGAGATGGAAGAGGAAAGAAGGGGTAAAGGAGAAGGGCGAGGAGAGGAGGGGGGTCCAAAGATGCAGGAACCTCAAGCCACCGGTGCTCACGGAGCCTCCAGGGAAAACAGCCCTGCAGGCCCCGGGGACGGGGATGGATTCCCACTGGATTCACAGAGAGCAGAGACCTCGGGGAGAATTACTGGCCGTGTGGGGTCAACCCTGCTTTACTCCCTGACCACAGAGGCCCTGAACACAGCCGCCCGGGCCTCCCAGCCCTGTGACCTGCCTGAAAAGCTCCTGGTACGGGTCACCTTCAAAGCCAGCCTTGCCCTTGCCACCCATCCCGCCTGCAACCCTCAGCTTCCTCCTGGCTCCTGGCTCTCTGCGGGCAAAGGCTCCCTCCTAGCAGGGGGACATCTGCCCTTCTCGGGCGTTAGGTCCCGAAGGAGAGGAGGGGACAGGCAAGGTCCCACCCTGCTGGCACGTCCCCTGCTTCAGACCCCAGACTCGATTTCTGTTTTATCTGTGTCCACCTATCTATTACTAATACGTCTTTGAATCAACTCACCTGTTTTGTTTTGCTCCTACTAAGCAATGATACCTGTGAAATCAGTGGCTGGGCCCATCATTCTTTCTCAGGTTCACATCAGTCACAAAGTGGCCTTCTGTGGCCATGTGCCCCTCACCTGCTACAGGACACGGGCTGCGATGGAACCCCGGGCCTCGTCCTGGGTCCTTATCTTCACACCCGTCCTTAATAAAGGACGCTGTCCTCCAAACACACAGGGCTTGGTACGTGGCTCGTGGGTGCAGTGGAAACCCAGCCAGCCGCTTCTGTGGTCCTCTGAAGGGACCACCGTCTCCCATGCACGGGCCCCTAGCACCTCTCAAAAGCCCGTCACAGGCATTATCTTCTGGGGTCCTCACATCCAGCAGTGAGATGGGCAAGACAGCTGTCTTCTCAATCTGGCAAAAGGAGAAACTGAGGCAGGGAGTCCAACCTGCCCAGGGTTTTTCGTCTTCTCAGCTCCCCTCTCTACATCCCCAGGCTCAGGAGTCTAAGGCTTGGTGATGACCGAGCAGGTGGGCACTGTGGACAGCTGTTGAGGGTGGAGGTGCTGTTCAGGGAGGGGTGTCCCCTCGCATGGAAAACGGACCACACCAATGGACTCCCGGGCCAAGTTGAGGCTCCGTACGACTGCTCCCCCTCTCAGACCTTTCACAAGTGCCCTCCACTTTGGGCAGGACACCAAGGAATGAGTGGCAGGGCCAGCCTTCCTGGACCTGTGCGCCACGTATATTTTTAGCCTCTGCCCTGCCCGGGCATTTGCAGTGACTGATGTCCTCAGGGAACCACCCAGCTGTACACCCGGGGGCCCGGTGGACTCTCAGAGGTCTCCAGGAACTGCCCCCTGCCCTGATCCTGGAGCTCAGGATCCAGCTCCCCCTTCCAAGGTAGAATCGGCTCCAACTGGGGAGGAATGCATCCCCACCTCCAGTACACACAGAAGATTGTGGAGAGAGTTCCGAGGCACAGAACCTGTGACCTTAGGCAAGTCGTGTTCTGGACCTGGGGGAAGTGGGGGGCAGGAAGACCTCTGCTGTGCAGGGGGACCACCAGGCCAGATGGTCGCTGAGGTGGTCAGGAGACCTGGGGTTGCACCAACACCACACAGGTGCACCCTGGGGAAGACTGTGTTGTGCTGTCCTGTCTCCTGTCCAAGGGCAGGATGCCCCAATGCCTGGAGACCTCTCTTACTGGAGTTGGGCTAACCCGGGGGCCGCGCTGTCCACCCTCTCCTCACCAGCGCAATTCTCCAGGAGCAGAGATGCACCGGTAAATCTTGGCAGATCGATTTAGAAGACTTTTCCATCTTCTCTTCTGCTCCTTCTGTGCTCCCTTTTCTCCAACCCAATACTGTTCTCTTACTGTTGCCGGGTGCTGGTGGAATGGGGGGATTCACAAAGGGCAGGCGGGGCAACTGTCCTGTGCTGGGTCTCGGTCTCCTCTGTAAAATGGGGAGTCAGAGCCTATGTGCAGGTTGCCGTAAGGTGTTCCCTGCAGCGGCTTTCATTTTTCGTTTGGCACTTATTGTAAGAAATACACTTCACATCTTGATCAAGTACCCACTTAAATGCGTGTAAGTAAAATAAATGCTTCACAGAGCAAGCGCACTCTCACTGTGAGATGCTCTCTATCTCATTCTGTTTCATTTCTATAAAATGCTGGTCACCACTCACCAAGTTTTTTTCAGGACATACTACTAGTCGCTGATCTGAGGTCAAGAGGGAGAGACAGGCAGAAAGCAAGCGCAGACATAATCACCAATCGAGCAAAGGGATGTGCAGGCAAGAAGGGGGTCTGGCGAACAGGAGGGGGCGGCCCGTTTCTCCACTTCACAGCGAGGCCTCAGAGCCGGAGCCGGGCAAAGCGGTAAGCAGGCCAGGTCAGGCGCGTGTCGGAGGCCCTGGTGGCCGGCTGGGATTTATTTTAAGGGACGCGGAACGCCACCGCAGGTTTGGGGGGAGGGGCGGGATTAAAAGAGAAGATGCGCTCAGCACCTTATATTTAGCGGCTGACGCGCCGGAAGCGCTCGTTACCCGCAGTTACTACTGCGCCCCATGCGCGGAGCGCGGCCCCCACCTTCACCTCCTGGGCAGTGACCCTGGTCCCCCGCCTTCGCCCCCGGGGAGGAGACCACCCCTCACCCTCCGTCTTCACTCCGCGGGCTGGCCCGGCCCCCTGTCTTCTACCCCGGGGAAGAGACCTCCCGGCCCCACACCTTCACCCCACGGGCAGTGACCCCGGCCCCCGTCACTCTCCGGGGAAGGGACCCCCCCAGCCTTTGCCCCTGGGGAAGGTGACAGTGGGGCGCATCCCAGCCTTCCGGCCCAGGAGGGGGGAAACCGTCTGGTACGCTGCTGTAGAGGGGAAACTGAAACCGGGAAACACGATCCACAGGTTCCCCGCACCCGGGTCCTGAAAAGGGCGGTACGCGCGGCGGGCGGAGCTTTGGCGCCCCGCCCCCTCCCTCACACGTGCGCCCCCGCCCCTCCCGCGGACGCGCGCTCCGCCCCGGTCGATTCCCACCCCTCCTCCAGGCCCGCCCGCCGGGTCTCGTGTTCCCACCCCGCGCGGGGCCCGCCGGGAGCCAGCCGAGAAGTGGGGCGGAGAGCAGGGGAAAGCCCGCCGGGTCAGGCGGCGCTTGCTACGCAGGCGCGGAGCGCGGGGCTGCCCCCAGGCCGACAGCGCGGCCATATTTAAAGGGAGGCCGGCGAGGCGAGCCAATGGGCGGTGAGCGTGCGGGGGCGGGGCGTGGCGGCACAGGACCCGGATGTGGCTGCTGCGACCCCTCCTCCCCCGCGTTACCCTCACAGCCCCCCGGCCGCGCGCCGTTGCTCGCTCTCTGGTCCCCGCGCAGGCCCTCGGGCGGCGGTGAGGCGGCGCAGAGGCGGAGGAGCGGGCGGCGAGGCGACCGCGCGGAGGCGAGCGGGCCAGGCCCGGCCGGGCGGCCGCCGCCATGAGCGGCTCCTCGGGCACCCCGTACTTGGGCAGCAAGATCAGCCTCATCTCCAAGGCGCAGATCCGCTACGAGGGCATTCTCTACACCATCGACACGGACAACTCCACGGTGGCGCTCGCCAAAGGTAGCGCCCCGCGGCCGCCCCAACCGCCCCGCCCCCGCCAACAGCCGGGCCAGCGCCTCCTCCGCCCTACCCCCCCCCCCGGGCGCCCCTCCGCAGTCCCGCCTCACCCCTCGGGGCGACCCCCACATCCTGCCTGCGCCCGCCGGGGCGCCCTGGGCCTCCGCGCCGCTCCCGCCCCTGCCCTCCGGGGCTCGGCTTGCACAATGGGCTCCCCGGGCCCCGGCGGCAGCGTAATTGTGCGCGGCCAGCCCGCCCTGCTCGGGGTTGGGGTGGGGAGGTGGGGGCGGGTCCAGCTCCCGCGGTGCCGCCGCCCCCCCCCGTGCGGCGTAGCCCACCTCTGCAGGTGGGGGGTCGGCGTTGCTAGGCTGTTTCCTCTCCAGCTGCCCGAGGGCGGAGGGGGCGGCTGGCGCCGAGAACCCGGTCCCTGTGGGGGAGGGGTGGGACTAGGGGCCCGGAGTCTCCTCGGGGCCTCCCCAGAAGGCTGGAGAACGAGAAAACGCGACTTCTGCAAGCCCTTCTGGAACCTATTAAGCAGCTGGGGCCTTGAGCCTGAACAAATAACCACGTTTTAATGGATTCTCCTGTCGGGATAGGAGCATCGGTTGGCTGCTCCATGCTCCCGTTTAAAGCGTCTTCCTACTCTAATTCAGACGTTTTAGTACGTGGGTTTACCCTTTTGTGACAGACTCCTCCCTGCGGGCGCTGGTAACCACGCTGAAGTCCCTGGGAGACCTAGAGAAAGATGGCTGTACTGTGGCTCTGCCGGAGTCCAGAGCCCTTTCTGAGCGTGTTGAGGCAGGAGGTGGGCCCAAAGTTTCTTTGTCTTCGTCCTCCAGGGACGATGACTAGTGTCCTTCCCCTGCCTCTTGGAAGTGCTGAGTGCGGCCAGGTCTGCAGAAACCCTGTTTGTTTGGTTGGTCTTGTTAGGCTGGAGACACTGGGCTGGGCCTCTAAGGGTCAAGGCGCAGCTACGTGCTCCTGTGTTAGAGGGAGCCTCCTCCATCCAGGTCGCAGTCAGTTCCCAGCTCTGGGAGTAGCTCCTTTGAAAGCCTCGTATTTAAGTTTTCCGATAGATGCGTTGCTCCAGGACATAGTTCAGTACTGTAAGATTTTGGGGTCACTTGTACTCCCCCCGTTGGAAGAACCGAGGCCCAGCGTAGCCCCTGGTCCTCAGCGGGAGTTGTGCTAGGATTAGATAGAGGCTGCTTCACGCCCAGCTCTGCCTCAGAGACCTGAGAAGGAGGCACTTGCTTGGGCTCCTTGAACCCTGCCGGTAGGGGTTAATCCCCTAGGAAACCCCTCCGGCAGACAGACGCTCGTGGTGTGGGTCCACGTTCTGGGCCGCTTTCTCCCATTGTTTCTCTACCAGCTCCTCCCAGGCTCCTCGTGGGCAGAAGGGTGGGGATGACACTCAACCTGCTGGCTTTTCTCAGAAGAAAACAGACTCCCCAGGGGTGGTGTGTTGCGAGGCTTCAATCAAAAAGCAGCTTTGGGGCTGTTTAATCTGCAAAGTCAGATGTGAATGGGGGGGCGGGGGGGATTTGCAAAGCAGGCCTTGTTTGTGGGAGCGCTGGCCTTCCGTGTTTGGAAGGGAGACCGTCAGGCTCTGAATCGTTTGTGGTCGTCTTTGCGACCTAGAACTTTTCGGAGCGTTGCCAGCTGGGGTCTTGTAGGTATTGTCCGTTGATAATCAGGGGTGGAGCAGTTGAGGCGTGGAAGCTGCGTGCTGTGGATGGCCCCTACGGGAGGGCTGACTGAACGCACTTGGCTGAGGATGACAACGTAACCCTTCTCTTTCTCAACCCCTGAGTGAGGTCCTTCGGTACTGAAGACCGTCCCACAGATAGGCCTGCCCCCCCTAGAGAGGAAGTTTATGAGTACATCATCTTCCGGGGGAGTGACATCAAAGACATCACCGTGTGCGAACCTCCGAAAGCCCAGCACGCGCTCCCTCAGGACCCCGCTATTGTTCAAGTAAGTGCGCTGCCCCGTGTCTGCCGTGGGCGCTGTCTCTAAGAGGCGCCGGCTTCCAGACGGAGCCGGGTGTCATCTGGCCAGAGCACTCAACTCGAGGAACAGCCTCTTCACGAAAAGCAGTTTAACTTTGTCTGGCTCTTGGCGTTCTGTGGGAGGCTTCATCTGTGGCGTGCACGGGGTGTGCTGTAGAGTGAGGCCGGCCCAGCGTGTTGGGCGGTGCAGGGGCAGTGCTCTTAGTCTTGCCGGCACCCGGCGTTTGTCCTTTGTCTCGGGTGGGTAAGCCTGAAGCCCCGGTGCATGCCGGGAGTGAGAGAGATGCTAGTAGGGACTTGGGACAGCAGGGCTCGCTCTCCCAACACTGCCCCGATGATAAAGTCAGCGTTGTGGGATGCTGAATTCGCAGGTGTCACGCCGTGTGCCTGCCTGCTGTGTTATGACATGTTCTGCCCAGGATTACTAGGGAGTCCAGGCTCATATCTTCTTGGCTTGTAAACCTCGACTTTCACCGACTCCTGCGGGGCTCACGCTGCAGGAGGGGCCGGGACAGAGCGTGCTCCCTGCGGGGTGGGGCTTGCACGCTGGGCTGTGTGGGCACGTGGAGAAGCTCCGGGCCAGACTTCTGAAAGGTTTGAGGTGAGCGGTCTTGGGAACTCCAGAAGAGGGAAGTGCTCGAGCCAGGCCTTGAGGGACGAAGGGGCCTCCCGGGAGCATGGGGAGCTGGAGAGAGGACGCCGCGTGCAGGTAGTTCCTCGGCTACACAGCTGTGCCCCGGCGTGTTGGGGCCAGGGCCCAGGTGAGGACGCCATCCTCGTCCCTGGCAGAGCCTGGACTCCCTGACGACCGGCAGTGGGGCCACTAGAGGGGTTCATGGAGTTAGGAGAAGGTCGTGTTAGAATTACCTGGCAGGTGAAGCTGGGGGTGAACGTGGAAAAGGCAGCTCTGAGCCCCTTAGGCCACCCTGGGGGCTCACACGCCCCTCAGTGCCGCCTCAGCCTCCAGGAGCAGGCTGACGAATCGGGCTGCCTTTCCCGGTCTGCACGGTGCTCGCCAGGCAGGGTGACAGGAGGGCCTGGAGCTGCTCTCACCTGTGTGTCTCATTGCTCAGTCTTCCCTGGGCTCGGGCTCGGCCTCCTCCTTCCAGCCACACGTGCCTTACAGCCCCTTCCGAGGGATGCCGCCCTACAACCAGCTGGCCGCCAGCTCCCTGCTCAGCCAGCAGTATGCCGCTTCCTTGGGTTTAGGTGAGTAACCTTTTGCTACCTGGTCAAGTGCCTGTGCCGTGACATGCAGGAGTGGGGCCAGACCCTGGTGGTGGGGACGCTGTGTTCGTGCCATGTTCAGCTGGCAGTGCATACTGAGCACCTTCTTCAGTGGCCCTTCAACTAGTTAGAACGCTTAGGAACTCCTCAGTTGAGTGGAAGAGGCAGCAGGGTGAGTTTTGGAACAGATGAATCAAATCAAAATTCATTTAAAGTGTCAGCCTGTGTCTGGGTGGAAGTTGTGGTATGTCTGGTTCAAAGAAGAAATAACCGATGTGTGTAATTACAGATGAGTTCTAACCATTTGCACATTTGTCAGCCTATAAATATAAAAGTTAAATGCAACGCCCACCTATCCTATCCTTTTACCATTCTCGTGTCAGTGCTTTGCTCAAAAATGAAGTTTCCCCTAAGGTTGAGTAAGGTTCGCTTCTACACGCATGGAGTGAGAGTCACCCTGGCCATAGGTTTGCGGCACATTCAAACCACAGAGTCGCAGGCATCACCCCCTTCACTCGTAAGAGTCACATGCTTCTAATAGAAGAACCTGTTGTCTTGATTGCTGCTCCTGGGGTGCAGGAGCCCTTCTCAGCTTGGCTCCCCATTTCTAGATTAGGCTTGTGTGAGCAAAGTGTCCTATGAGAGATGGCTGGGCTCTTTCCAAGCCTGCTATACACAAGACGAGTTTCTCATTACTTATTTGTGTGCCTTTTTTTTTTTTTTTTTTTTGCTCTTTTCTCCTTTATCTTCTTTTAGAAAAGTTGGTAAGCCCTCCAGCCTCAGCCGCGGCTTCCAGCCCTAGTTCTTCTCCATCTCCACAGCCCGTTTCAGAGCTTGACATGTCCTCAGAGTCACATCAGCTCACTTCCAAGGGTAACAGCAGTTTTGCAGAACTGCATGCTGTCTTGCGAGCCATCCTGAGCGAGGGGGTAAACCAGTAGACCAGAATGACAGTAGCTGTAGCAGATAATTTGCCAAGCCCGTGGATCAGTTAAACTGCCTCTGTGTGTTTCTGCACGTACTCCTGACTTATTAACTCTCACAGTTTTAAAGAGGGTATTAGAAAGAACCAGCAGTGCCCTTTGTTCGCTCTCCTGGGTCCAGGGTCTGTTTTGACCTGTACTGTGATTGCCACGTATGGGAAATGTCCCTCTGCACAGAAGGCCACTTCCTGGGGTTTCTGCTGGTCCTAAATGCAGTGTAGGTTGCTGGGTAAGACTGCAAAGCGACCCCCCATGTAACAGGCATGCTGCTCTAGGATCCGTGTGGCACATTCCTCACCCATCCAGGGCGTTTAGCATCGGGGGCCTTGGGTGTCTTTGTAAAATGAAGCACCATTAAAATTGGGTGGCTAGCCTGAGTTGTTGACCGGGTGAGCAGTGGGCCTGATGACTGGCTTGGTAACACTGGTTTGTCCCACCTGTCTGCTGGGTGCCGCACCTGTGGGCGGTTTTTTGCCCGTTCTGGGCCTTCTCCTTTCACCGGAGGTCTGATGTGAGAGCACCGTGTGCGCCGCCCTCACCTTTGCAGAGACTCTGTCCAAGATGATACCTGGGGCTTTCATTATGGCACACAACTACTGTCAGTCTGTTACTTTGCATGTGTTGCTTTCCTGCATGGATGCCAGTGGATCTGAGTACAGCGGTAGTGATGTTTTTTTCCCCACTTAAAAATTGCACAAGGTAGTTCATTGTCCTTAGGGTCATTTACATAAAACTGCTCTTAGGGCAAGATAGTTTGACTGATCTTTTTTTATGAAAAGCAAATGAGCCCAAGATTCTTGCCCTATCCAGTTACAGCGTGAGCAGGAAGCAGCTGTCTTGCTCAGGGAGGGCCGTGCTGAGTGAGGCGCTAGGCCAGAGAAAGTGGTCTAGGTCAATGAATGCCCATCGCAGAGGACACTTAAAAGTACCAGTAAGGGGGCTTCCCTGGCGGTCCAGTGGTTAAGAATCCATGCTTCCACTGCAGGGGGCACGGGTTCGATCCCTGGTCGGGCAGAACCAGGATCCCGCATGCCGCATGGCCAACAAAGAAAAAGAGAAAAGTATCAGTATGTAGGGCCTGCCCTTTGAGTACTTTTGATCCGGTTGTGAGGGATTTCTCAGAGTAATTTCTGACAGTAGTTTCTGCTCTATGTTTAAAAACAAAGGTAGACTGTCCAGTCTTCACTGTGTTGGGCTGCCCCTCCGATAATAGTTACTCCGTGGTTAGGGCTCATTTTTTTCTGTCTCAAAAGTCTGTGCACCTCCACCCAGTCCTCAGTTGTCCCATTTAAACAGTGCCCACCGGAACGTGGGAGAGGGAAGGGAGGAGATGGCCTGATGTGTGTGGCACACCCTTCTCTGTCCTCTTGCGGCAGAGGCCCGTCTCGTGAGGGGGACCTCCACTGAGGCCGGGTTCTGAGCACTCCTGCGCTCAGGCTTGGTGATGCTGTGTAGTGGGAACAGACTCAGTGCAGCGCCGTCTCCAAGGGCAGCCTGGGAACCCTTCGTTTCTTACGATGAGCCTTCACCCGGAGGAATGCAGGCTGTTATTTCTCTGTAGTCAGCTCTCATCACTTCATCCTTTTTGGTTTTGTTGTTTCTTAAGCAAAAACAACAGTGTTCTAGAATTTTAACTTCAAAGGCTGAGCACTGCATTTTGTGGAAGATGCCAGACTGGGATGGTTCTTGTCCAGCATGGCCCAGAGCGAAACACATTCTCAGACTGTGAATTCACCGGCATCTCGGGACTGTCGAGCCCCCTTGGGGTTAGAGCTTGTGTGGTTTGGGGGAAGCTTTTTCTAAGCCGCTTGAGAGGTGCTTATTGTGCTGGGGTGTTTTTCCCTCCTCCGGATGCCCTAACTGGGGGAGCCTGCTGGCTTTTTTGCTGCCTGGGCTAGACGCAGAGGGGATGGTGCGGGGTGGGGGCTTTGCCTGGGTTCGGTAAAACCTCTCCAGGCGGTTGCCTTCCTCCTGCTGCACAGCCAGCTGGAAGAGGAGTGGGGGGAGGGGGGCGGGGGGCGAGGGGGTGTGGCCTTCTCCTCGTCTCTGTTATTAACCTCTCCTCCTCAACTCAGGAGCTGGCTTTCCGGCTGTCTCAGTCAGCAAGAGCCCCATGGTGGAGCAGGCTGTCCAGACTGGTTCTCTTGATAACCTGAACACCAAAAAGCTGTTACCTGGCAAGGGCACCGCGGGGATGCAGCTCAACGGGCGCCCAGCCCCGCCAAGCAGCAAGGCTGCCAGCGGTACTTAAATACTCACTCCCCTGGAGTTTGTTCGTGTTCTCAGTGGCATAGCGCTTCCTGGGGTTCTTTTTTATCCTTTAATTAGACACCCCCACCCTGTAGGCTTTTGCAGGGCGGGCTCTTGCGCAGTCCCCGGTGGCGCCGCCCTGCTCCCGTCGCCAGACTCTGCTCCTGTCCCCGGGCTCTGCTTTCGCAGGCGCTTTGCCTTACTCTTCCTTTTTGCGCCTTAGATGTAGCTCAGCCGGCAGCTGGGCAGACTCAAGGGCAGGTGAATGACGAGAACAGAAGACCTCAGAGGAGGCGATCAGGTAACGGCTGTTGCCACTTGAGTTCTGGGGAGCCGAGAACCACCCAGTCGCCCTCCGCTTACCGCTCCTGCCTGCTTCTCCGTGGGTGACGGTTTCAGGGTGCTGGGCTCAGCGGCAGCTTCAGTGTGCTCTGTCCCCGCTTTGTCTGCTATCTCACACCGAGTAATGTTGAGTTAGTGGCTTACCAGCCAGGGCTGTCCTTTCCTTCTCACAGGGAACAGACGAACAAGGAATCGCTCTAGAGGGCAAAGCCGTCCAACTACCGTCAAGGAAAACACAATCAAGTTTGAAGGCGACTTTGACTTTGAGAGTGCAAATGCCCAGTTCAACAGAGAGGAGCTGGACAAAGAATTTAAGAAGAAACTGAATTTTAAAGGTTTGAAAATTTGCCCCACCCCAGGAGTGTCCACGGCGCAGGTCAAGGAGAGCCTGGCAGGGGCGGGGGGCAGCTGGGATGGTGGTCGGCGGGGAAGCCATGCTGTCTGAGGAGTTCCCAGGAAGGAGAGGAGTCGGGGGGAGGCGCGTGCTCAGGGGGTGAGAGCGGGTTGCAGGGCCCAGGGGTGGATGAGGCGAGCAGCCAGCAGAGCTTTCCGCGTAGTGCAGGACACTCCCGGCCGCTTCCCTGAGGCCTGAGCACAACCCTTGAGTGGCCCCGCGAGGACCTGTCCTGGTGGAAGGTGCTTTGTTTGCTCCTTGGCCTCTCAGTGCTCTGCTTCTCTGTGTAGACGACAAAGCTGAGAAAGGGGAGGAGAAGGACCTGGCGGTGGTGACCCAGAGTGACGACGCGCCTGCTGAGGAGGACCACCTGGGGCCCAACTGCTACTATGACAAATCCAAGTCCTTCTTTGACAACATTTCCTCTGAACTCAAGACCAGGTCAGGGGGCTGTGGGGCCGGGCAAGGCCTGGGGGAGCTGGCGGGAAGACACTCTGCCCGCAAACTCTGAGACTGGGGCACGCTCTCTTGGAGACCAAACCCAGATCTTAGGTTCAAGGCAAATCTCTTAGGCTTACATTTTTACTGTAATGGGTACGTCAGGCCCAGCGGTGCCAGCGGTAGGTGGTGGTGTGAGAAGCCCTGGCAGTCACAGGCACCTGAGGGATCTGACCCAGGTCCCGGCCCCTCTTTGCTCAGCTGCCCCTTTCTCATCAAGGTTGGGCTGGACTACCCTCCCTACCGTGTCGATGTTCCCGTTCTGTACCACCTCGCCTGGGCCTGCTTCTTGGTCTGACCTTGGTGGCCTGAGGCCCTTGCTACCTGAGGCAGCTGGCAGGAGTGTCCGCAGTGTTCTTTCACCCACCTGATTGCTTGAGGCCGGGGACTCTGTCATATGCTTTGTTTTTAGCACCCAACAGCTGGTGCTCAGATGTTGCCCGAGAACCAGCTAGACAGTAAACGAAGTCTACACAATGGGCATGGTGTGGAAACTCAGATCCTTTCGTTCACAAATGGAGTAGCAGACACACTGCGGGCACTGGGGGAACAGCAGAAAGCAAGCTGGGAGGTCCCCATTCCCCCCACCACCCCTCTTAGGTTTTGGCAGGGGAAAGAGATAACAAAAAAACAGGCGCACGAGATAACATCTAGCAGTGAGGCGGGAGAGGTTGGGGCATGTGTTGGGTGTGAGGGGAGTGGAGCGCCGAGGTCTCGGGTGAGGTTCGGGAGCCAGTGGGAGGGTGAACGCAGGACAGGGTGTGAGGTGGAGGCAAGGCGGAGGTGGGCACATGCAGCTGCTGTGTGGCTGGAGCGGAGCCTGTGGGGGGTCAGGGAGGAGCGGTGAAGATGGGACGGTTGCTGCCGGGCTTTGTAGGTCACGGTGACAACTGGCTTGGGGAGAGCAGTGCTGTCTGAGGTTTCACTGCTGCTTTGTGGAGAGTGGGCAGAGGTGGGGCAGGCATGGAAGCTGAGTGGTCACGTCAGAGGCTTTGGGGTAGTGGGCAGTGCTGGAGGAGGGGAGAGAGGCTTGGCCTCTGACATGCCCTGAAGGTTTGCTGATGGGCTGTGAGGGGAGCCTGGATGGCTGAAGGCTGCGGTTGCTGCTGCCTGGAGTGAGGGGGGGGGGCAGCAGAGCAGGGGGTCGGGCTGGGTGTGTTGCGTGTGAGCGGCCTATAAGCAGCCTTGTGGCACACAGTTGGACACTGGGGGGTCCTTGCTGGAGGTGCAGAAACGAGTGTTGGCGGCGTTGGTGCTGCGTCCGCACCTCCCCCAAAGCGTACGTGTCATAGCCTTGGGGACCCTGCTCCGTTTAGCCCAGTCCCCTCCTCATCTCTGGAGACTCATCTGGAGGGGTCTGTGATCTGCTCCAGGTCTCGGAGCCTGCACGGGCCCTGGGCCTAGCAAGCAGGGAGGGCTTCCTTCATAGCACGCTGCTGTTGCGTGCTGGCCTTAGATGACGCAGGTGTGAGAGGTTTATACTGAGCAGCCCCGTCCAGTGGGAGACAGGTCTGGTTGGAAATTGGGCTGGGAGCCCCTGCAATGTTGAGTCTCAGGCTCCAGTGTCCTGATGGGATTGCCCCCCCCAGTGGCTCCAGTGACGAGTCACCATCTGTCCATCGGTCCTTTCTCCCTCCCCAGGCTGTGTGAGGCTGGGGCCTGGCTCGGAAAGCTGTGAGGAGGTGCCCACTGTAGTCGGTCTCATGCTCCTTGTCTTGGTTCAGTTCCAGGCGGACGACGTGGGCTGAAGAGAGGAAGCTCAACACGGAGACCTTCGGGGTGTCGGGAAGGTTTCTTCGTGGCCGTAGTTTCCGGGGTGGATTTCGAGGGGGCAGGGGCAACGGTGCAACCCGTCGTAACCCGACTTCCCACAGAGCTGGGACTGGCAGGGTGTAAGGAGGCAGCTGAAGGTGAGTGAGGGGAGCTTTGGGGTCCTTTAGTGGGAGGGCATCCGGACGGGGCTGCCCAGGTAGGAGCCACCTCTTCAGGAGGAGCTTAGGAGCCGGTGAGCGTTGGTATCGAGGCCAAACTGAGGCCCCGACCCTCTGAGTGAATCCCCCAGGGGGCTCTTGGGGACGGTGGGACCCAGGCCCCGGGGTTGTCAAAGTGAGGGTCCAGGTGCAGGAGGGCTGGGTGCTCCCCACTCCGGTGTGGTCAGGAAGGAGAGATGGTTACAAGCCAGGCCTCAGCTCCAGCCTGGCCTTGCACTGACCTTGAGTCTGCATTTTTAACTAGGTCGAGGGTGACGTGTGTGCCCCTTAGGGTCTGGGCGTGAGTGGGCTTTGGGTGGGACCGGGGGCGGCCCCCCCCCCCCCCCCCCACCCCGGTGTGAACAAAAACGATGACTTTGGGTTGTGATGGGAAGGTCTGGGAAGCCCCAGCCTGACTTGGGGTGGGAGGGAGGTTCAGCAGTCCCTGTTCTTCATTCACGGTGCTGGGCTCAGGCTGCGGAGCTGCCTGGATGTGCTCACTAGATGTTGTGTCTCCTCCTCGCAGGCTCTTGCTGAAGCGGCACAGACGCCAGACTGTGTCTACGAGGATGTTGGAAAACGCTGCACTTACTGTGGGAGACGTGGGTCACTTTGTTTACTGAGTTTGGAAAATTCCCATGCTACTGCTTATGTTTTGGACTGAACTGAACTTGGACGTGGTCTGAGTTAGAACCACTTTTTTGGGGGGACGTGTATGTGGGAAACCTCTTTGAGGTATCTTGGCCTACTTTTCCTGTTTAGTTGTGCACAGCCTGACGCTAAGGTTTTGGTATTTTGCAGAAAGGTTTCTAGAGCGAAAGTGTGATCCTCACTTTGTGACCTTTTTTGGACAGCTTTGATTTTTAACGTGGAACCAAATCCCATTTGGCAAATGCGGCAGCCAGGTGCATCTCTGTAATCCAACTGGCCGCTGGTGCTGCTGGCCTGACACCCACTGCCACAGGCGGGGCTTAGGAGCCAGGCGTGGCCAGCACGGGGGCATGGGGGGGGCCTAGGGCATGGAAAGCGGGGTGTCCCACCATCATGTTGTAGAAGCAAACCAGACGACCCTGACCTCAAAGTAGAGGGCGGGGTCGGGGTGCTGGAGGTGTAGGATGGGGCCCTGAACGGGAGGGAGCTGGGAGCTGTCACTTGGAGTGTGGCTTCCATAGGAATCCGGGCTGGGGGTGAGCACCCAGGACGAGCTCCTCTGCGGAGTTCCTCTCCCTCCTGCCCTCTCCCTGCCAGTCCCTGACCCAGGCCAGTCAGCGTTGGACTCTGGCCGAACACTGTTCGGTGTCTCATCCACTTGGAAATGAGCCAGTCTTTTTTTTTTTTTTTGCAAGGTCAGTTGACCGAGAACATATTTCCTCTCAATTGTAAATAGTTCTGTGTTTTTGTTTTACTGGTGGGTGGAGGGAGGGTGGGGAATATAAATTTGTTGCATGAGCAAAGGGATCAGACCTTCAGTAGAAGCATGCGTCCCTCTGACAGGGCATCGTGGTGAGCATAAGCGCCTTGGTAACTAAATCCCTTTAAGTAGGCGGAACGGTTTTAGTTCTGTATCGATTAAGTTACTGTAAAAGCTTAGGTTTATTTTTGTAGGAGTTAATGGCTAAGAATTAGAACATAGCAATGCGGCTGCTCTGTTCGAGCAATGGAAACTTGTAATTATAAACAAACATGCAAACCTTTAAAACTCTCTTCTTCTGTGCTCTGGAAATAAATAATCCTGTTGACTCTGTTGCCCGAGTTACATCATGGCTCACATGCCCTTCCCAAGGTAGGTGTTGTGTGCAGTTCAGATTTGGGGGACATCTCGCACTCTGGAGTGAGACCTGGCCAGTCTGGGTACAGGGCAATGAGCCAGGCCCTAGGTTACTGAGAGCCACCCTCCCAGGGTGAGTGGTGCTGTTTTCCAGATACTCTGGACACTAGTTTAGAGAACCTGCTTCGGAAGTGGCCCCTTCGCTGCCATAATACAGCTTCCAAGCTCCCCAGAACTTCCATGTCGTTGATGCCTTAGAACCTGTTACAGGGCTGGACCCTGGGACTACAGAGAAAAGCCAAGACTTAGCTGGTTTCAGACTGAAAGCATGTAATTTCACTGCAGTGGGTTTCCAGGCGATTTTTTAAAATATAAATTCATTCATTTATTTATTTTTGGCTGCGTTGGGTCTTCGTTGCTGTGCGCGGGCTCTCTCTAGTTGTGCTGAGCGGGGGCCACTCCTCGTTGTGGTGCGCGGGCCTCTCACGGTGGCCTCTCCTGCTGTGGAGCACGGGCTCCAGTAGTTGTGGCAACGTGGGCTCAGCAGTTGTGGTGCACGGGCCCAGTTGCTCTGCGGCATGTGGGATCCTCCCTGACCAGGGCTCGAACCCATGTCCCCTGCATTGGCAGGCGGATTCTTAACCACTGCGCCACCAGGGAAGTCCTCCAGGTGATTGTTAAAAAGCACTCTCAGGACTAAGGCCCACCTGGCCATCTGTGCGTGATTCAGGCTGAGAGGAGGACCAGACAGCAGGCCAAGCTGGCCTGTGACATCTGGATGCAGCCTTGTGTTTGGCCAGCTTCCTTTTCCGGGCTGTCTACCACTCTCCAGCAGATCCTGAGCACTGCTGGTAGTTTCAGAATTTAACAAACTCTTAGCAAATACCAATTAAAAATAAAAACCTTCCACAGCTGACCTGCTACACGCAACTGGCCTTAGCACTAATTCTAAACTAGGTAGTTTTTGTTTGTTTGTTTGTTTTTGCGGTACGCGGGCCTCTCACTGTTGTGGCCTCTCCCCTCGCGGAGCACAGGCTCCAGACACGCAGGCTCAGCGGCCACGGCTCACAGGCCCAGCCGCTCCGCGGCATGTGGGATCCTCCCGGACCGGGGCACGAACCCGCGTCCCCTGCATCGGCAGGTGACTCAGCACTCAGGCTAAAGAGGTATTTCTCTGCTAGAGATTCTAAATATAGTTAAGTCACAGTTTACCACCTATGACTAACCTTGCTATTAAAACTTAAACTGACAGTCATTGTGACGATTAGACACTTTAGGCTAAGTTTAAAATATATCTGGGCCTCCTTACCCCTATTTATTTTGGCCGCGCCGCGTGGCTTATTGGATCTTAGCTTCCCTACCAGGGATTGAACCTGGGCCCTCAGCAGTGAAAGCACCAAGTCCTAACCACTGGACCACCAGGGATACGCTTTAGTCCTCTTTAGAAGCTTGATGTATATATGCCATTGAATGAGAACCCAGTACAAGAGAAGCTGTAGACAGAGCAGAGCCCTGGCGTTGGAGTCCTACCAACCACTGTGGTCAGAAGAAACAACCAGCCCAAGGACTCTTCTAAGAAGCCTTTTGTGAGTTCTCCTGGGGCAAAGGAAGCCAAAAAGCAACGCCATCACCAGGGCTGGCGGCAGGGCCTCTGGAGAAGCAGCAGAGTTGTGCAGGAGAAGGGTGGTTAGGGTTCTTCTGTAAACGCAGAGCTTAGGACCATGACTAACCCTGCTGTGGACTGCAAGCTAAAAGAAGGGTAATCTTTCTGGCTAAAACAGTGAGGGAGGGTAGGGAATAGCCAGCACCGGAAGTCTTAGGTAGAAAACAGGAGGAGTGTTGACTTGATCTACTAGAACCAGAAATTTAAGACAAGTTCCACAGCTACTGCTCTGCAAAATGAGCTCAAGATGTAAACTGAGCACTGTGTGTCCTCGTGTCCTGACGTCATATTCATTAAGGACTCGAACAAAGGTGTAAAAAGAAACATTCTGTTTAGAACTCCTGAATGGGAGAAACCCTGAGTTTCTGCAACCACAGCACCTGTCTACAGCAGTGTGGACCCCGTAAAGCCTTCCCACAAGCCCCAAGGGAGGAGCCCCACTCGGCCGTTGCCTTGTCTTAGAGCCTGGCGAGGAGCTGGGAGGAATTGCTCCAGAGACCCAAGGCGAGCAAGCTTTCTAAAGAGCTATCAGTATACCTAAAGGATACATTAACCCCTAAAAGAAAGGTTAAAAAACAAGGACGTTTATTGTAGGACACGTGGACAGTATGGATAATTGGGACAGAAATGCCTACATATCATTTGGAAAATCAGCCATGATTTGAATTTAAAAATCGCTACAGGCAAAATTTCATTCATCATGATGCTTTCTTTTGTTTCTTCTTTTCATTTTCTTCTTTTTCTTTTTCAATCTCAGCAACATATTTCTCAATTTCTTCAGGATTTAAAATCTATCAAAGGAACAGTGTATGGTTAGTCACACAAGGACCCCCGAACATAGGCCCCAGATGCCCCTTCCAGCTGCTTCTACAGGAAAGCAAGGCCACATGTGCCTGACCCAGGGAACAAGCTGGAACTGATGGGTAGGTGATAATTATAAAGCAGAAGCAAACGTGCACAGCGGACGTTTTCACCACGCGAATGCTTTCTTTTCGACTCATTTGTGGGGATCCTTGGAAAGAACCTTTCTTGGGGCTAAAGCCACAGCAGAATGGCCCTGAATGTGCACTACCCCTGCCCTGACCACTGGGAACACTCCGTAGGTAAGGACAGCAAACCAACTTGGTGATTACCTTGAGGGGTTGATCTCGTCTCATGACAGCAAGTTCTATGTTTTTGCCGCCTGACTGAACCACCTCGGAGGAGAGAGAAGAGCGTTAGATGCCTCACCCACCTCAAGACCAAACAGCGCCCTTATGTGCCCTGTGAGCCTGAACCCAGCACTGCCACACAGGGGGAGAGGGTGGGACACCGGGGTCCCAATACCCAAAGCGTGTGTCCTAGCTGCACACTGATGTGGCCAGTCCTTCGCGATACCCTCCTGTCTTGAGGCAGCTGGATTTGGGCGGGGTTGCTGGTCCCTCCTCTGCACAGCAGGTGTGCTCACGGCCCTCCCATCTGTTCACAGCCTTTCCCACCACTAAGCCCGGACGTCTGGACCCCCTCTGCCTCTGGCTTAACCCCCTAGCACCTCTAAGGACGGCTTCCACCCATTATTCCCAGCACTTCTTAAGTCCCTGACTCTATAGCAGTAGCTCAAGCCTCAGAAAGGCTGAGCGCTTGGGCAAGCCACCTAGCCTCTCGGTGCCTGGACTGCCCAGACGTATAAGGAGCTGATACAGCCCCAGAGCAGTGCCTGGTGCTACGGTTGGCACCCTCACCACCTCCTTGTTGCGCACACGTCAGCTGCTCCATTCTGCGCTGTCCGTTCTGCCCAGCCCAAGTACCAGCACCACGGCGTGCGCATCTTCAACATATTGCCCAGATTTCAAACACAGACTTACTTCCAGGAGGGCCTTGATAACCAGCTTAATAGTCAGGTCGTCTGTTTCAATGGCTTCGTCAGTATAATTCTTCTCTAGAAATTCACGCACTGACTTGGCACCCCTGCCTATAGCGTTGGCCTGAAACAGGGACGGGTGTTACACGGCACAGAGTGCGACAATCCAGAGCCAGCCCAAGAAAACGACCCCCACCACCAGCCCCGTGGTCCCGCCAGTGCCACCCTGCTCCCATGTGCTACGGTGAGGGGCAGCCTGGTGGGAGGCGGGCCTGTACTCCAGGCCCTGCCCCATGGCTTCTTTTTGCAAAGGGCTATTTGGAGTTGGTGCTGATTCCTACCAAGAAAGGGATTCTACTGAAAGACACGTGGGCAACTTGACTACACCACGTATCCTTACACCTCGCTGTCCTTTACTCCCAAAAAGCAACGCTTAACAACTTCTCAGCTCCCGTGTCACAAGTGTGTCGTGAACACTTGTGTATGCGTACACACCTATGTATACGATTAGGCCAGCTCAAGGTCCCAATGGCCTCCAAAGCTGCTTCTACTGGCAAGATGGCCCAAAACAAAGCCCCTCTGTTTTGTCAGGGACTCACCTTCCAGGCATGGTACGTGCCCGAGGGATCAGTCTGATAGAGTCGGGGGGTACCATCAAAGTCAAAACCCACAATAAGGGCAGAGATGCCAAACGGCCTGCGCCCGTTGCTCTGTGTGTAGCGCTAGTGGAAAAAGAGACACAGTGACACTGCTGCCTTGGCACGAAGGCCCCCCAGAACCTGCCGTAAGTAAAATACACATGGTGTTCTAAACACAGCTTTTAACGAAGGGATGAAAATAAATTAAGCCCACGTTCAGGTTATTTGCGATTCAGGTGAGAAATGAAAGGAGCCCGTGGTTTTCAGCATTCCTCCTTCTGTTGCTGCATTTTCATTCTCAGAAAGACCAGAACTGCATCATGAAGCACAGCTGGGGCTGCTTGGAATTATTTTGACAGCAGACACAATCTGGCTACACATTTTGGTTCACAGGTGACTAAGATTTCACCAGAGTGGGCGTGGCTTTCAGCCCCCTCCCAACTGCTTGGTGACTGGTCATTCAAAATGACAAGACAAGAACTACATCATTTCCCTCTGGAAATATGAATCTGGACTGCCCCATGTTACTAAATAAGAACACGACAAATGCCACTTAAAAGGATAAATGATGGTAAAATTACAGATATAGAGAAATCCAGGCTAGGACCCTTGCGTGGAACAAGCATGGTCTAATCTCCCCACAGTGACGTGTGCGGCCACGTGAAGTAATGCGGCAGGACACTCCACGACAAAGCAGTGACTGCTCGTAACTAGCCGAGCCACGGCAGGCAGACACACCCACCTGCTTCAGACTGGCGATGTACCGTGTGATGTACTCCACGGTGACCGGGTCCTCCACGGTCAGCCGGTGGCTCTGGCATTCCACCCGCGCCCTGTTGATGACTATCCTCGCGTCAGCAGTGAGGCCTGCAACGAACACAAAGAGAGCTCCCCCTGAGCCACTGCTCGTCCGGCCAATCGTCGAGGCCAGTGCAGATCACATGAGTGGACAGCAGTTACCCTTGGCCGGTCCTCTGGTACCCAGCACCGAGATCATTCTGAGTAACCAACAGCGGAACCAGCAGCCTCTGTGAGCTTCTCTGAGAAAGCTGCGTGTACGAGGAGCTGTGTGTATTTACACAGGCTGTAAACACGCTAATTTTTTGACAAAGCAAGTCAATCTCTAGTTTAGGTAAACTGACCTCCCCGCTGAGGAACGAAACGAATGAAAACCCAGAAGTGCAAGAACATACGGCACATCCCGAGAGCAGGGTGCTGTCCAGCTCTCCCCACTTCACGGGCGCACAGTTA